GAGGATGGAGGCGAGAGCTGATGGAGAATGAGAGAGAGAGAGGGCCTTCGTTTGGGAAGAGAGAGTGATTGGGGATATTAGTCGGAGAAAGAGAGAGATATAGATAAAGAGATATATGTTTTACAGTCTTTTGGGGGAGAGAGACAAAAATAATGGAGAAAATGAGAGAGAGTGGGTGTGACAGAATTGAGGAGAGAGAGAGACAAGGTAGTAGGTGAGACGTCTTTACACTTGGGAGAAGTGTAATTTGCCTTGGGAAGGATTTTTTTTATTAAAAAAATATTTATATTTTGAGTGGTGGGTAGCTTCATCTTAGCTCAGCCCCTACTAAAGTAATCAATGCTCTGACAAAAGTACACATACATATTTGTATATAATTCGGTCGGTCGGTTATAATAATTTTTTTTTGTTTAAGTTCGATTACCAACTGAACATAGATGAAAATTTTCAAAATGGGGAACTGTAGCCGACCGTTGAAATGGTCGAAACCGTCCGTAGCCATAGCGGGTTAGGCAGTCCTGCGGGTAATTTCGTTTTTTGCTCACCCTACTCCACTGGGCCACTTTGTGATCCCAATCGTTAACAAGCTTCAAGACATCTTTGCTCAGCTCGGTAGCCAATCCACAATCGAGCTCCCTTAGGTCGCCGTCATCAGCAGCCAAAGCAACGGCAAATCTAGCATCCTCGGAGCTCTTGTTGGCCAGTGATTTCCTCCCTAGGGGTTCCGATATGTGTACTCGCCGCCCACCTGTGCTTCAACTCTTACAAACCAAGCGGAAGCCCGATGGCTTTGAAAAGGAGTATGAGGAGTTCTTGCACTTGCCTTCCAAGAGGTTCTACGATTTCAATGAAATTCGGAGGGAAATCCACTTATTCTTTGATTAAGTTTTGTGTTGAAAGTTTAATTGTGAGGTTGAATATGTCACAAGTATCATAGAATTTTGTTGGGTGTTGTAATTGTTGTATCAGTTTAACAAGTTGTGGGCAATCGCCACTCCATCACTCACCATCACAGACTTATCATTAGGTTTTATGTTAGATCACCTTTTCAGAACCACACAGACAAAATTGGTTTGTGAGTAGCTCAATTTTCTCTGGTCTCTTTGTTTTTGGTTTCTAAGTAGCTCAATTTTCTCTGGTTTGTTCAAAACACAGAGAAAATTGAACTAAAATTTCTCTAGTTTGATTAAAACAATTTTCTCTGATTTAAAATCATTGTGCTAAAATTTCTATGGTTTGGTTAAAATAATTTTCTCTGATTTAAAATTATGAACAAACACAGTGAAATTTGTGAACAAAGATGTCTGGTTCATTTTTTAGAACTTGTTTTTAAATTTTTTTTTTTTTTTGAAAAATTTGTAACTTGTTTGAGGTTCTTTCTCTTGTTAATACTGAGGTTCTTTCTTTGGAGAGAAATTCCTTGGGAGGTCCAGAATTTTTCTAGAGAGTGGGAAGTCCAGAGAATTTCTCTGGGAAGTCCTGAGAAATTTTCTAAATCGAATTTTCTCTGAATCGATTTGAGAGACCTTAGATATTATAAAGATATTGGATGTCTTTATGCTATAAAATTTTAAATACCAAGGATCTTAAAAAACAATCCCCTATATTTTATGCTAAAATGTACATTTTATTTTATTTATTTTTTAATTTTTCACCATCTGCATTAATTTTGATCCCATTAACCTTGCAAAAGAAGAAAAATTTATAAAATTTACTATATTTGTTTTTCAAACCATAAGGTTATGTTTGGTTCATGAATTTGAGAAAATATTTACAAAGGGAAAAGAAAAAAAAATATGAAATATAACTGTATTTTATTCATATTTCACTTACTTTTTCTATTTCTCTTTCTAAATTCCTATCAAAATTTATGAATTAAATATAGCCTAAATAAAAGTTGTGTAATTTTGTTTTTATTTTTTGTTTTTTACTTTTTACATAACTATTAAATTGAATAATTTCTCGAACGCCTATTCCGCGGGCTCATAGAAAGTCCTCAAATTAACCAGCTATTTTGCCTACGTTCTTTAAAAAGTCTTGCATTCCATGTGAAACAAAATGTAGAAGGTTCATGATTTCTATGATGTTCTAGAATGCTGATCATTAGTTTGTTTTGAATAAATTGTCAAATAACAAGTGATAAAACCAGAAAGCAAGAGAGAAATAGCTCCAAACACATTACAACTCTGAAAATTTATTAATTTCTTGCTAATTGTTTTAATGGCAATTTAGAATTTTATTCACACATTGTCATAAAATTTTGAGAATTTTATGAACTCATTCTTCATATCACGTGCATGTGACAATGAACCAAGGGGCTCTAACTTAATTGACTAGTCTTTTGGTCACTGAGCCTTTCTTAAGTGGAGGTCTTAGGTTCCACTCTTAGCAGTGAAATGGAAGGATAAAATTTTGTATCAATGTGTATGGGTGTGAGTTTCAACCGCCCAAGATACTAATCTAACAATTAATCGTTGACTTTCGCCGATAAAAAAAGAAAGAAGGGTGCATGTGACAATGTTTAGGTTTCCTTCTAAATATACTATTTACAATTCTCTCTACACCAGCTGTTCTCCATACCTTGATCTCACAATAATAAGTGTTAAAACATCCAACTTAAAATTGATTAGTCATGAGTGGAGAAATCCTTACATTATATTAATTAAGTTTGGGTGATTTAAATTGATAATGTGTGTTTAAGTCTAACACTCTCCTTCATGTGTTGCCTGATAGTACGTGGAGTTGATTGAAAAGTCAGATGAAAAGATAGACTGTTTGTACCACAAGATGTAATTGAGAGAAGTTATATATATTGAATTGAATAATTTACATTAAACCCCCCCCCCTTTCCCCCTTTTTTTAAGAAATTGAGATCCTTAGAGCATCTCCAATCGTTCATCAGATATTTCATTGAGTAAAAATTTGATCTGATATGATGCACTCTAACTCTTTTATCAAATCTGGCTGATCATCTATCTAAAGTAAATTTTCATCAAATTCATCCCAAAACCAGTTGTACGGGAGGACATCTAGGTGAATGTCTAGCCCAACAGTCACATACAAATTTGATAAAAGGATAAACGCTCCCTTCATTTGATGAAAAAAGCACTACTTCCTTTATTTGAAACCAAACTGATTAAACGGTTGGAACAACATTTTTATCAGTTTTTTTTATCAAATTTAAATTTGATGAAAAATTTGATGAAGGATTGGAGACGGTCTTAATATAGAACGATTAATCACAAAGGAAAATAATATACAAGTCCACTTTTTATACCTATTTTATAGATCCAATGATATGTAAGTAATATGATTAATTAATTATTAGAGAAGATATGAATTTTAATAACTTAATTAATGACCGTATCAATCCAATATGATGATGATGCTGAAGATGATATCAAATATGATAAAGATATAGAGAATAATATCATATATCATATGTTCTCTAAGAATAAGTATGGAGAAAAACGCTTGTCAGTGTAATTAGAAAATACATATTATTATCTGATTGTCAAAATTTTTCAAAGCCCCCCTGACGCCAGATGAACTTTATGTATAACAAAATCTGCGGCGATATCAACTGATTGAGTATTTTCAAACCCTTTTTCGGTTTGTTTCCTTTTTTGTTTAATTCCTGTGGTCTCATTTAATTACCACCTCCCTCTTCCTCTTTTCTTTTTTCTTTTCTTTTCTTTATTTGAGTTCGGGTTATCTGTAGTCCATATCCATTTAGAGAGTTACTGTGGGCTTGATAAGTCCACATTAGTAATTTTCGTTCTTATTATACAGCTCATTGAGTAAAAAGTCTATATAAAAAATTATGATTATCAAATATTAGTAGACGTACACATAATGACGAAGCTGAATTTAAAAAAAAAAATCATCATTTTTTGTTTGGATGATTCTTTAGAAAAATTTAGCCAAAATCCTTTTATTAGACCATTATTTGGTGAAAATGATAACTCAATTTATTTTGTTTTATAAATCTCCTGAGAAAAAAATACATAATTGAGTAAGGATAAAGTAGAATATCTTTTTCTTTTTTTCTTAGACAATATTGCCAAAGTAACATGTTGCTGTAAATCAGAATAACATATTAGTGTCAAACAGAATAACATGTTACTTTGAGACAATAACATATTACTGTCAAACACATTAACATGTTATTGCTATTGTTATTGTATACATCAATTTCAATGGTAATAATATTTTTTTTTAAAAGAATTTCATAGTTAACATAGATCTTATTTGATAGATCTTGATGAGAGAATTTTAAAAATACTAATTTTATTATAAACCGACAGTTACATCAAAAGATATTATTTTAAAGTTTAATATTTTGATAATAATGGTATGTGTTAAATTTTTCAAAGAAAACTTTTTGTGTGCTTGTTTTTAATGCATTAAAGTTTTATTATGAGATGGTTTTAACCAAATCTCCCCATTTTTTATGACATGAATTATTCAAATCATTGATATATGCATTACAAAAAATTAAGATTTCAGAGACTAAAATTTAAGAATAAAATTATTTTTTAGGAACTAAATATTTTTATTGTGAAAAGTGTTTCATTATATTTTTAATAACGAAAATTGGATATTAGTGATGAATTATTATCCTTTTGAGACCAAATTTTTTATCTAAAAAAATAAACTATTTTGAGACCAAACTATTATGTTCCTAAAAATTTATTTATTAGTGACATTGTTAAATTTTTGTCTCTAACAATTTTATTTTTGACATTTCAAAACGACCATTTAACGATTATCTTCGCGACGATAAAAATTAGTCCTTAAATTTCTTTTGCAATAAAATTTTTACTTTAAAAACTCTTATATATTATTTATACGCTAAAATCTAACAAATAGCACCCCTGTTTTCCGTTTCCCATTTTTTTTTTTCCTTTTTCTTTTTTCATATTATTATCTTTGCTTACTATTTTTGTGCGTGTGATATAAGTTGCGACATTAGAGCCTCCCTTCCTCTCCTTTTTCAAGTTCACACTCCCATTTCACATTTCAGTTCTATTATCATCCTCTATATATATCACCACCACTGCTATCCATTCTCTCTATCTCTCAACCTCAACCAGCTTCTATCTCATATAATAGCAAACATGTCCAAAGCTACCACCACCCTCTTCATCCTATCCCTCCTCCTCTGCTACGCACTCTCCGATGCCGCCCGCCCTCAGCCACTCCCTCTGCAAGACACTTTGGTGAAAACCCAACATTTGGTATGTAAAATAGTAATCTCACACGTAATTTTCTGTCTCAAATTTTGATTTTCTTGATGGGTTTTCGATTTTAATTAATGGGTTTTTTTTTTCCATTTTTTTATTATTAGGGTGATGAAACTCAGCAAGTTGAGATGGTGGATGAGAGCTGTGAAGGAGTTGGAGAAGAAGAGTGTTTGATGAGAAGGACACTCGCTGCTCACGTTGACTACATATACACCCAGAAGCTTAATAAACCATAGAATTGTTGGTTGTTCATTAATTAATTACCTTCTTAGCAAATAGCAAATATAGCACCTGGTAATAGTAATAAGATATTTTGATCACAAAATATTGTATGTAGCTTGGTAATTATAACTTGTTGCTTAAGAACTCCCAAAGTTAAATTAACTGGACTTTAATCTTCTTTTCTCAATATTGATTTACTTTCTTGTCATGGAAAATGTATTGGGTTAGTAGAATATGAGATGAATTATGTGAAATTTATATGTATCTTTCTTACTATAAATTTCGAACAACAATTTTATATTACGACTCAGTTTTCCTCCTTTTTTTTTTCCTTTCTTGTTTTCTTTTGAATATTCGATTCCTAACATTAACAAAGACAACTTAGTGCACAAGTTTCGTAATAAAAGCGATGTCTAGAAGACAAGACATACAGTCTTATTTTTTATTTTAGAGAAAAAAATGTTTTGTAATTGGAATTTGGAACTCACAACCATTGGACATGGTCGACTAAAAAAGAAGACGAAGAAAGAGCTCAATATCGATAGATCAACAAAGAAATTCAAACAATAAAATAAATTAAAGCCTTCCGTTGGAAAAACAGAGTTGAATCCTACCGTACTTCGTTTGGCAATTATACCTGTCTTATCATATCTAATCTAACAGTATTGGTATTTGCTAGTAATCTGACCAAATCACACTAATATATATTACATATATGTATATATAATAAACAAAGATAAATGCTAACAAGTGTCTTAGACATTGTTTAATGTTAAAAAATGTGTAAAAAATATCTTGAAAATATGTTTACAAATGTATTAATTTCAATAAAATTGTATTAAATTTAATAAAAAGTATATTGTGTTTTAAGGTCATACGTTAACAAAATTTTTAAACAATGAATGTATGTGTTTCCTACATGGTGATATCCAACGCTAGTTGAAGAAGAAGGAAGAAAATTATGAGCTTAGGGGGCATAGAAATGTACATTTTTATGGTTGTATCCATCTAAAAAGAGTGTTCAATGGGTAACACACATGAACCCAACCTACCTAAAGTGTAGTGATATTAATCAATGAGAGCTAAACCTAATGGAAGTTGGAAGTTGGAAGTTGGAAGTCGGAACAGCCTATTGCTTTTCTGTGACTGGTAATTATTTGGGAATTCAATTGAGGAACAAACAACCACCACCTAGTATTTGCTTTTGGAGAAATTTTTGTATGAGGATAGAGTGCATGCCATAGGGTAGTACTTACTATTGTGATTGGTTTTGACAATAGAATCCACCACATTTATGTTGAGTGTTTAGAAAATAATAATAGACATATATATTTGTGATTAGTGAAAGGTAGTGTCACGTGGTATTTTATTGGCATACAAAAATTTCTCTTGGTTTTCAGGTGGGGAAGTTAAGAGAAGCAGAGAGAGTCACAGGAAGTTAATACGTAGTTAATGGAGGTAGTTGAGAGTTGTGTGATGATGATACTATTAATAATCTGATTGTATTGTAGTAGCAATGGTGGTTACTGGTTAGGCTTGGAAGTTCAGTAACAACTAGGGAGCCAGGGTTTAAATGTCCACCATTACATATTATATTACATAATGAGATTTCAGATTTTTGATACCTTTATTTATTGATATATAGATTAACATTATCTAATATTGACCGATATATCTATATCAATACATATTATAATATCATTATTTAAAATCATACCATATTGACAAATCCACCATTAAAATTCCACTTCCACATCTTAGTAGTACCACAATATACTTAAATTTAATCCAAATAAGCTTCTCAAAAATTTAATCCAAATAATGTTACAACAAGCATCGTTATACATTACATTTGATTTACCACATAATATGTCATCACTATATTAATAAGACATGAGTTAGGATCTATTCAATTCAACCAATATAATTATCACAAA